TTCCACGCCCCCTCTGAGAGAAGCTTCAAGGCCTCCGTATTGGCTGCACTCATGCTGCCACCTGGAAGCAAAAACATCCCATCCAGATCGGCCACTACCACGGCGCACGGAAGCTGCGCCGTCATGGCTTCACACACTTGTTATACGGTCATCCCCCCCCTTTTGCCCCAGTCAAGAGATACCGACCCCAAAACGAAACAAAAAACAACGGCCCCGGCAAAGCAAAAGAGGCATAAACTCCCCGCAGAGAAGTGTCACAGGAAAAACTGGAATTCAAATATAATAATAATACAAACAATCGCCGTCGCGCACACTCCGCGCGGCTCCATTCCCGCTTTGATACTGTTGGACTCCGCCGGAAACGGTGTCGGGGTAGTTCTACTTTGGGGCAACCGCACGTCTAATAAACATGCAGCAAGGCACAAGCAAGGCCCCCACCAATGATAAAAAACCACGAGGTCAAAGTCATGCCAAAGGCAACGCCGTACGCCGTTCTCCGTGGAAGCCGTGCGTCCTCGCAGTACCAACTCCCAAACATACTGGCTACCGCAGCCCACGAAATCATCTGAAACACGAAAGCGATGAACAACAGTAAGAGAACAAACAGGCGCAGCTTCAACAAATCATGACGCAGAAGCAGGCCACAGCACACCACTGCAAATAAGAGAACAATAATCGTCATTATACTGAAGGCAGCTCCCACCTGGAGTCTTTTCCGGACAGGCTCGCAGGTGATTAAGGAGGTGCGATTGGTGTAAATGGAGCTGTCGCAGTCCTCCTTGTAGCCCCAGTACGTGTAGCAAGCACCACCCACCACATCTACCTGAGAGAGCGGTGCCCCTACAACAGTCAATACAAAGGCCAAAGCTGTAGAGAGAAGCATCACAAGAAGACGTGTATCCGTATCCCCTCCAAATTCCCACATATCCTCCAGGCGTTTCTTTATCGTCCTGCACATCCTCAGCACACCATCGTCATCCCGCGCATTCTCACGGCCTCTCGGTGGGCCAGGGCCACCTTGCCGGTCATTCGTTTTGGTTTCGAATGTTGGATTCACCTCCGCCCGTGCGGGTAGCACGTCACATACTGGATTGTTGAAGGAGGGGTTCACTTGATTGAAACCCACAGGCGTTGCAAAAGCACTCGCCGCGTCGTGAGTGGAAAATGAGGGCGGTGCTGGCCAAAACGCACGCTCCTTATTTTCTTCCGCCTTAACGCTCTCCTTAGGGGTCCGTAACCATTCCCTGCGCATAGGGCTCTCCTCATTCGATCTTGCAGGCTTTTTCGCCTCCATAGATAACGCTTCCCTGCTCATGGGGCCTTCCTCATTCGATCCTGCAGGCTTTTTCGCCTCCGTAGATAACGCTTCCCTGCTCATGGGGCCTTCCTCATTCGATCCTGCAGGCTTTTTCGCCTCCGTAGATAACGCTTCCCTGCTCATGGGGCCTTCCTCATTCGATCCTGCAGGCTTTTTCGCCTCCGTAGATAACGCTTCCCTGCTCATGGGGCCTTCCTCATTCGATCTTGCAGGCTTTTTCGCCTCCATAGATAACGCTTCTCCGCTCATAGGGCTTTCCTCATTCGATCCTGCAGGTTCTCTCGCCTCCGCAGAAAAAGACGAGGACGAGGTACTGATGTCGTCGAAAAATCGAATCCTGCGAGCCATGAATTTGGGATTGCCATCATGAGACAGAGCAACACCGGAGGTCACCGCCTGCCTGTCGCCCGCGCCTGTGTCTCGCGGTTTCTGGGACAAATCCCGCCGCAGCGACGCAAACGATGTCGCAGCTTCAAAAGTTGCCTGCTGTGGATGCTGTGGATGCTGCGGCAACGCAGTACGCTTCTTACCATCACCGCCAACAGCCTCGTCCTCGCTGCCCCACTTTTCGGCCTGATGACGCATCTGAAACAATCTTTATCGCCTTGCTGCGTCACCACCAACTGCACTACTTCAGCCCCAAAACCCGAGGCGTCTACTTTCTGTCACACACTTCTTCTAACCAGCACTCACCAACTAATAAAAAAAGACATCAATCAAACAAATAAAAAAACTACAAACTTCAGCCACCATGCAATCCCAGGACACACACACACAGACAGTCAGCGGGGGAGTGAGGCCCCAACACGACGGACCAGCCACGCCACTCCACAGCAACGCACACTCACACACGTCCGTGGCGCTTGAAATTATGGGCAATCATGCAGAGGTGTGTAAGGAAAACACCAAGGCCCCGCGTATAATTTCAGAGAGGATGAATTGCGCTGCTTTCCCCAAGACATGTGGCTGCTGATGTGTTCAGCAAACATTATTCTCAGTTGTCTTTTTTTATATATTTTATTGCCTAAGCCCTTGTGGTGAGTGTGTTGGTTAAAGGAAGCGCTAAGTCCGAATTTTCGTTTTGTATTTCTAGTCTGCTTGTCGGCCCGAGGCGGTGCTTCACACAACAAGAAACAATACCAAAGCGATGACCCCCGCTGTACACCCCGCCACCAACACGCCGAATCCCACGAGGTAAGTCGTGGTGCGAGGTAGGGCCTTCTCACAGTGGTGGAAGTTGTAGACTATAACTGACACTACACAAAAAGCCACCTCGGACGCCAGCGCCACAACTAAGAATAGAGTGGTGCACCACTTGGAAGTAGAGGATACTACCACATCTCGGCTCTGCTGCTGGCCATGTTCTTCTTCACGGGAGGAAGCTTCGGCAGACCTGCGTTGCCTGCTCTCTTCGCGATGGTCCACAAACGCACTGAAGGTAAGCAATAGCACAACAGCATTAAAAAAGGCGAAAATGCCCGAAAAAGCGCTGCCCATGTTCAACCGTAGCCTCAAATCATTGCAGGCTGAGAACTGCGTGCGGTTGGAGTAGCTCATCGTGCCACAATCATCCATGTTGCCCCAAAAGGTGTAACAACCATTGTCCGTCATATCCAGTTCAAAAAGTAGCATTGCCAGAACCACAAAAAGCCAATTGGCCACACACACGGCAATGAAGATGCTGAGAGACGTTGCGCCTCCAAGGTGAGAAGTCAGCCCGCCAACGGCGTGCATGCAATGAGCTACCAGACCTAGCCCATTCCCCCTCTGCCCACCGGCAGTGTTGTGGTTCGACGACGGCACCACGGCTGGCCCAGCAACGTGCTGGCCCACGGTTTGCGGGGTATTTCCAGTGGCTCCGACATACCTGTCATAGTCTGATGTGACGGCATGCAGTTCAAGGTCTCCACCAAAATGGGGCCGGGAAACCGTGGGCTCATGCGCTTCGGCGAGCCCCTCACTGCCCTGCACCGCCGCCGCCGCAAGTGCAGCGGGGCCTGACATCTCTGCTTCTTTCCCACAAGCAACTTTTTTCCCACCTCTGCAGAGCCTCTCACTGCCTTATTTTCCACCTGCACCACACAACATCAAACGGAGCCACAGAGAACATACAACCAAAGC